AGTCCAGCCGACCCATGTTGCATTCTTTGGAGGAAGAGGTGGCAGATCTTCGCTCCTCGGTGGATGGCCTGCATGTGCGTATAGATGCCATGTCCCAACGGCATGCCAAGTCTGAGAGCCAGATGATAGCTTGGTTCCGTGCTTTGGGGAGGGCTTTTCATGTGGATCCCAGCACCGTCTCCGACTCCGAGTGACGCTCAGGGAAGTCTTCTTACCCTTCTGCACTTTATTTGTGTTATGACATGGGGACATGCCATATTCTTTTTGTGTGGGGTGGGAGACTTGCTTTAGTGGTGTATTGTTAGTGTACATATACATTGATTGTAAAATAAATAAATGTAGGAGACTCTTCTTGAGGACGGACCACTTGGACAATACTCTTGAGGGAAGTAGTCCATTCAGATTTTTTTCTTTTTAGGTAGTGTAGTAATTCCTCCTTGGTTTTTCTTTTGACCACGGTTCTTTTCCAAGGGCTTTTCTTGAACCGGGTTAGGTAGATTTTTCTTTAATATTTTTAGGACCCTTAGGACTCTATTGGACCAAGATGGGTGAAGGCAAGAATGCAACCCGTAATGTACACACCTGCAAATAACTAAAACGAACTTGAGGGTGCGACGTCTAGGCTCGTTTGTAGACTCGTAATTTTATGCCTTAATTCTGCACACCTTGTCTTTCTTGAACGCTCACGTGAGTGTGTTGACAAACTAATTCGGAATGAGTTACATGCCAAGTGTGTGTGAGATAATACTTGTATTCTGTGCTTGCATGCGATACCTAGAACTTGCCCTGTGTGTTTGCAAAACGAAATAGAAGTTGTTTGGTCTTAGAGATGATTGAGGCATTTCCTTGTGTAGCATGTATAATTATGAATCCACATGTACGTATTGCCATAGTTAACCCCTTCGAGCCTGAAGCCTGTTCTTTGATAACCTTACAACAACCTACATCCTTGTGTTTGAATAGTTTGACTATTTGAACATGTACCTCCTAGAAGCACTTGAATCGTTAAAGAGCATATAAAAGTCAAAGTGTGGGGTAGTAATGGAGTGGGAAAAGGAAAATCAGAAAAATACTTGAATGGTGCAATGGCTATGAAAAAAAAAAGGCTAGTTGCACCTAAAGAAAAGTAGGGGTAGCCTATGAAACAAGTGTGGAAAAATGATTGGGTTGAACAGGGAAATTGGAATAAAGGGAACGATTGTATTAAAAGTGCTTAGGGAGGTTAGTCACTATATCCAAATATATCATACCCGTCCCTTAGCCTACATTATAACCAAATAAAGACCTCTTGATCTTGGACTGAACAACTCGATTAGTAGAGTATTACACTAAGGGCAAGCTTATGGTGTATCTGTGTGGCATTTGAATGTTCTTTGCTGAGAGTGAGTGGATTCGTTCTATCTATAGTTCCTTGTTGCTTGATTTTATGTGTGGAACTTCTCTCAGAAATGTTATGTGAGGGCATGTGACTCAGGAACAAAAAGCAAGTTTTCACCTCTGTTTAGAGTAACTAGAGTAAGCACGAGTATGGCATGGCATTAGAGTCTTCATCTGAGGTGTGGTTGTTGCACTGCTTAGGTTATTCTTTCATAATGGCGGGTGTGACATAAACTGGGTAATGCATCGAACGATTAGGCCTAGAAGTGTAGTTCAACTTGCTCGAGGACGAGCAAAGATTTAAGTGTGGGGTATTGATAATAGGTGAATTGGACTATAATTAGGCCCTAAAGAACCACCTTCTTGTATAGTTTTTGTGGTAAAAAGTGATAACAAAATGCTCTAATTAGTTCTTTTCATGTTTTGCAGGCTATATACAATAAAAGAAGTCTATAGAGTATTTTTGGGATCAATCACGGAGAAAAAGAGGCCAATCGTACAATATCCGCTAAGTGCACCACGCGAAGGCAGCAAAACCAGAACTGGAGATGGACTGCCGCGGTCCCGGCGTAACCGCGGTCGGACCACGGCAGAAGGCTGTTGCAGATTCTGAGAGGCTAGTTGGCCGCGGTCCTGGCGTAACTGTGGTAGGACCGCGATAGGAAGCGAAAAATTGAGGGACTGAAGTGCAAAACACGAGATTTTTAGCCCAAAACCCTATATTAAACAATAGAACTCTTCCAAGGGAGGCAAGGGAATGTTTTAGAAAATACTTTGGATGAGAAACAAGTGTGAGAGATCACCCAAAACATCATATTTTCTTCTTCTCTTTATTTTTCTTGCAATTTTGATCATGAATATTTTCATAGTTTATTTACCCATTGTCATGAGTAGCTAAATCCTTTGTCTAGGGTTTTGATGGAACCTATTGAAGGATGAACTTCTTGATTATGTTAATATAGTTTGCCAGTTTAATCTCTATTTGTTCAACTACGTGTTTGTTGTAGTTAATTGACAGGATCCTCAATTAGTTGTGCCTATTTAGTATGCATAACTTGGGAGAGAGTGCATATTTAGGTAATTGTTGAACAACATCACTCCCAAAGTATAAGAGGGATCTATAACTGCGGGTTTAAAGGTGTGATTAGGGATAACGAAGTCTTGGGTGCAATCTAAAGTGAACTGTAATAAACAAAGCCAGCTAGCCTGTCTCGGGAGAGCGCGTCTAGTAAATTATCGTGATTACTCGAGAGAGATTCACAGTAAAAAGAGTACTCATGGTTGATAGAGATGTGTTGGTAAATCTATATGAAACATAAACAGAAGGGATTCCATCAATAGGGGAAATCACTACCTTAGAACCTTCTCATTATTGTTCATAACTTAAGCTTATTTAGTTTACAACTGTTTATTGACTTTCAATCTTAGTTATTAAATATACCATCAACTGTTATTCACAATGTTTGGGGAAGTTGATTCTAAAGAATTTAGTAAGTCCAACGAAATGAACTGATAGGTTAATTCTCTGTGGATTCGACTCCGGGCATAAATACTCAGGTTATATTTGCAACGTCCGCATTGTCTTTTTATAAGGCATAGTTGGGCGTGATCAACCCCTTATAAGTAGCAAGAGATAGAGAGCAAGGGGGAACTAGATTTTTCTGAGAAAAAATACATTGTAAAAGTTGACTTAAGAGAATATACAAAAGTTGTCTTGTTCACTGATTATATTATTCACGCACACATTGTTCAATCTTTATTCATAAGATCCAAAGATTCCTTATCCATCTTCACTTCTCACTTTCCGCATCGCTGGCAGAAGAAGGGAATATTCCAATCATACAATAATTGGGTGGTAGATCCTTTCTTATTACACTTATTGCCATTATATACATTTACTACATATTCATGTTATCATATTCATTATCAATCATTGAGTATTAAATCTATTATTTAATGCTCTTACGCACTATTTATCTCGCAAGTATCATATTATATTTAATTTAGAATTTATTAAGTTCAACTAAAACTCGCCCTTTAATTCATCATTAATTGGTTTAAGTAAAAAGATTAACACTTTTTTGCTCAAACAGGTGTCACTTAAGCAGATAACTTAATCAAAAAATAATAGTAAGTAAATAACTTTACACATGTAACAAAACACATCAAAACAAAGTTAATGAATCATCTCTTCATAAAGTAGTTTCCCTTTGTTTGGAGATGGTCCTTTATGTTTGAGATGAATCTTCTTTCTTTCATATCCTTCTTGAGTATTGGATGATGAAGGACTCCAACTTTTTGATGAAGATGTTCTGTAAGTTGAACATGAAGATGTTGCTTATGTTCCAAGGATTTTATCATCTTCTTTACCTTTGACATCCTCTTGTTTACTGTAGTTACTATTATTATTGTCACCTATATTAACATATGAACTCGATTCTATCGGGTTGAAATCTATAGAATTATCATTACTTCCTTCCATTATATGGCNCGATTCTATCGGGTTGAAATCTATAGAATTATCAGTACTTCCTTCCATTATATGGCCCAAAGTTTTAGCTACCTGCATTAACAAAATATATCGATCAGTAAGTTAAGAAACTACAATACCAACAAAAAAAATGAGTCAACAGTGCGGGAAAAACCATAAAGTAAAGAGTGTCATATATGATGGACGAAGGGAGTACCTTACAAACAACAACATACCACATGTAATCCCACAAGGGGTCCGGGGAGGGTAGTGTGTCGGGATACTCAAATTAAATGACGGGATTTTAAGATCATATTAATGAAGATTATAATAGTTTAAGAAAAAAGAATGATGGATCTACTAATCATATCTTATAGAATCAGAAAAATTCAAGAGAAAAATAAGTCTCATTTTAGTCTGACGCTACAAGCAAAACTTACCCATTCCATAGTATGCCTCTTATTAGGATCCTTTTTGAGACATTTTTCTGCTATTTCAACCATCCAAAATAGCTGATGGAAATCATGGGAATCCCCAATCCTCTTGTCCACTAGACGAGGATAATTTCTTTGCTCCAAAAGAGGCATTGCCTGCACTTAAAAGGGATGTTCTATTATGTAATACATTTTACATTTTCGTAACTAAATGACTTTGGGGATTTTCATTTCACACCTAGCTACTTTATATATTCCTTGTAATTTTGCTTAATAGAAACAGAAGGAGAAAAGAGTAAATACTTCTCTCACGAGCTATACAGTATCATTTTTCAGAACGAAACAAGCACGCGTTATATGGTAAAATGTAAGAGACGGTCTTTTAAATTTACCCATTCAACAAGACTTTTATCTTCAGGATGATTATTTGTGGTCTTCAGCCCAGTGATCAGCTGCAGTAGGACAACCCCAAAAGCATAAACATCTGTTTTAGTTGAGAACTTCCCATTTGCTGCATATTCTGGTGCCATATATCCAAGAGTGCCAACCACATCGTTACCAGAAGAATTTTGTGATTCATCATACCCAGCTTTTGCAAGTCCAAAATCTCCTAGCTACGTGATCGATGTTATATAGTTAGATAAAAATATATGTCTAGTTAACACCTAAGCTAAATGAATGTCAATTATCTATGCATTTTATGATCATGTCCATTTTAATCGCTCCACATTTCACAGAGCGTTTCACCTTAATTTACTTGAACCAAACTAAGGTTATAACTAAGCTTACTAATTAGTGCATCTTACATAATCATGAATAGCAGCGTATGTTAACATTCTGAGGTAACATAGTATTTGTTAATATACTATGGATATAATTAATCCATGGAAAACATACCAGTGATTCATGATCATGTGTGATGAGGATGTTATTAGGTCTGATATCTCTGTGGATGATGTTATGTTTGTGAAGATATTCTAATCCTCTGGCAGCACCCAAAGCTATTTTCATCCTCCTCTCCCAATTGCGAGGCATTCTTATATCTCCTGCAAAGTATAAAACAATTATGTGTCAGCATATATAGATGTTCCAACTTGGACGGATTAGGTGTATTAGTGGGTCATTCGATCCTCCGAGTTTTACTATTCTGATACTAATGCATTATCAATTTACCTGACAAGAATTGGTCTAGTGAACCATTGCAAACATACTCATAGACAAGCAACTTTTGGTTTCCTTCAGAGCAAGACCCTAACAACATTACCAAATTTGGATGCCGAGCCTTGCTAAGAACCTCAACTTCACACTTGAATTCTTTATCTCCTTGAAGGCTCATACCATTGTGCTGCTTTACAGCAACTCTTTGCCCATTCTTTAAAACTCCTCTATAAACAGAACCAAATCCACCTTTCGATAGAAAGTTCTCATTGGAAAACCATTCTGTTGCTTTTTCAAGCTCCATATAACTGAAGTCTTTATGCCATCCCATCTTTGGCCTTTTGTTCCCACAAATTGAACATTCAGGTGTTTTGAATATTGCACCACAAAAATATTGATCAATAATCATCTCCATTTTTTCTTTGTCAATAGTTTGATGCTTTTCGGTTTGGTTGTTGGAGATGTGGGAAAGTGACTTTTCAGTTATTTTTGCTTTCTGTTGAGAAGAACTTGAGGAACTACTAGGATTTTCCAAGCTTGAACTTGAATTTACTAGGTCACTTGCTGAAGATTTTTTTACCAAGTTTTCACAAAACTCTGAGGAGGGCTTTCCTAGAATACTGCTTGATTGTTCTTTGCTTGAGGTTGTCACACGAGAAATAACTTCCGAGTCTACAATTCATCAATAAAGAAATGGTGTTAGAGCACCGTTAAACATAAGTAAAAATGTATTGACAGGAGAATATATTACTTTGATATAAATTTCAGTTATATAGAGGTAATTATACATATTACTTACCTTGCTGAGGAGAAGTAAGTTCATCTGATGAGTCATCGTCGCCTGGAATCATTTCATCATAAGAAAATTTATTTATGGTAAGGGAGACATCAGTGTTCTCCATTAATATTAGTGACCCTCTTACATCTTCTATGGAGTTGTCACTTTTCAATTTTGATATTCCACATGATAGCTTCTCCATAAAGTACCTCTTCTCCTTTTTCATTTCCCTACAAACATTAAATACCAAGTTATAAGATCTAAAGTTAGTTAAAAAAGAAAGAAATCCTCAAAGCAATAATGTTTTATCCTATGAGCTTCACGTAGGTTCAAGCAGTGGTGAAACAAAAATTTCGTCAAAGGGATTCAAACAAATGGGATTTTGTGTCTATAGGATTCAACAATTTATACATATACAAACATTAGAAAAACTACCTATATGCCTAGTACAATTTTTCGATGAAGATGATTTAGTTGAACCACTTTGGCAAGCGTGGCTCCGCCACTAGGTTCAAACTGACGATACCTTAACCAGTAACCCAACAATACAGATAGTAATACTCCTTCCGCCATTTACACAACCCTTTTTTCTATTTTCGGACGTTTTAAAATATTTGACTCATTTTGATAGATACTATTAGTTTGTACAACTTCTTCAGTAAGTTCAATCATTCAAGATTTAACTATTCAAATTCTACTTTGCTGTTGTTTCTCATCAAACTAACTTTTCAATTATTACTTTATATTCCATTCTACTCCCACTAACACTTGCATTAGAGTAAACTGCCTACATAACACCTAAGAATGTGGCCCTACTCCGGACCTTGCGTGAACGCGAGATGCTTTGTGCACCGTTCTGCTCAATTCAATTACAGGTGTAGTCAAACAGAGTTATACAAAACGGGATATAGGAGTAATAAATATCAAATTTTGTAAAACTCTAAATGGTAGTACTAATTAGAATCGTGCATTTCAGCTACCTAATTTGGGTTTCGGTGAATTTTGTAAACTTCCTGATGTTATCACTAACCTATCTAGAATGATCCAAGTTGCGTCCAACCTCTTGATTGCAATCACAGCTACCACCTTTCGTGAATTTCCAGCTTGAACTTCTATGTGAAACTTCACCTGCAACACCAAAAATATTCAAAGAATTAAGATCCCAATTTTCCACACTTGAAATTATTTTGAGACTATCAATTCCAAGACTTAAGATTCTATGTGTGAAACTTTCTTAATTTACTTCTTCGTAGGTACAATTTCCTGTGCAGAAATTTTGGCTTCCATTGATCAGAGACAAAATGCTTTCTCTTCTTTTCCCACCATTAAAACAGATTGGTTTTGTCAAGAAGATGTATAGCTTTCCATTCGACTCGATAGTCTGTGTACGAAATTCTTTCACTGGGTAAGAGTGAAGAAGCTCTACAGGGAAAAATGTTTAAATATGTCAATGTATTATCCCGCAATTGCTCAATTTAGTTCTTTCTTACATTTTTTTTGTCCATTCATATTGTCGAACAAATTGATCCAAATTCACCCATTAATTTTTTTTTACAGTTTATTGGTATTTAGTTAGTTATTGATCACGTAGCTCAATGGCTACTATGTTACCCTTAAGTAAAAATATCATAACTTTTCGTAAGGATATTTAGATGACAAACGGTTTAATTAATTAAGGTGTCACAATTTTCTTCTTAACGACAAAAAAAATTTTGGACCAAAAGCTTAACAGAAGACAAAAATTATTTATTTTCAATAATAAAAGAGCATAACTATGATTATGGTTAGTTTTATGTCTGCATTCACCTCATATTTTCATTTACAAATCCTAAGTAATAAAAGAGCGAATGGAAAATGGACAATGAAAAGTATGGACTATTCTTACAATAGTAATCATTTGCCGTATGACCTTTTAGGCGACTCTTTAAGTTATACATCCATAATAGGCTAACTTCCGCCCTTAAGAGTAGTTGGATGGATTCTTTTTTTTTTTCATTTGTAGAAATGACACCAGATAGCCATTTTAAAGGACTTCTATTTAAAAATTAGACAGTGCGTCCTGAATTTTAATTTTTCAGTTTAATTTTTAAGACAAAAATGTCTTGAATTGTCCTGATTGAGACTTTTAGTTTAAAATTTTAGGACAAAATAAATACTGTCTAATCTCTAAATAGCATCCCTTAAAATGACTATCTATGCACATGTCCCATTTTTTTTTTTTTGCAAACAAATTGAGCTCATTGGGCTAATGAGATCGGAATTTAGATAAGGCTGAGCACATATAGAGACACTTAAAGTTGACACAATTTTTCATTTAGACACCTAAATTTAAGGGTGTTCGTATTAAGCACTTGCACTACGTGAAAGTTGTTCCAGTAAGGCTCTTCTTGCTGAGTTGGCACATAGAGTGAGTTTAACCCACTATTAGCGCGTGAGGAGCCCAAAAAACATATTTATTTTATGAGTTTTTTACATTGTCAGTTACTTCTTTTATAATATTTAAATAAAGATCATTACTTTTGTTTTATTCCAAAAGAGCACATTCATTTACAATTACAGCATTTTCCCGAAATCATGTACGTTTAGTACTCTTCAAAATTTTAAACATAGTCCACAATTTAAGGAATTAATTTTGAACCATATTAATCTCTCCATATTTCTCTCCCATCATTATTCTATACTTACTATCTTTATGAAAGTTCCCACTTTTAGAATCCCCTTTTTCATTATTGTATCAAACACAGTCTTAGTAAATTCATATTTTTATTCCATGTTTGAAGGTGTATATATACATATAATTTTTTACAATGTAATTTTAAATATATACATATGTAATGAATATATTATGTATATTTGCCTATACCGAACATGTTTATGTCTATTTAACATATAATTTTGCATGCACAACGTATAAACAAATATACATATTCAATATATGTATTATGTATATTTAGTGTATAATTACATATACTTGATGAGATCAATATATAGTTTAAGTATATTTGACATTTGAAATATATACTCCGTATATGTGATATAGTTTAAATTTATATTTGATGTACATTATGTACAAACAATAACATATATGTGTATAAATATACTATATTGAAACACACATTTACTATGGAAATAATTTAAAGTTTACAAATTCATAAAATACTTATAATATTTCACTCATATAATTATATTTTTATTACTATATGTGAAAATAACAATTAAAAAAATTAAAATAAGTGATACTTTCCTTTGGAGGATTCGTACATATATGCCTTTTGGTTTGTGGCATTAATGTTAGAAAAGAGATGTGTGTTGAAGGTAATTAAATGGGTTGTATAATCTTATCAAACATTTTGGTAGAGATGAGTATTAATATGACTAATTTTCGGTAATTAATAGGGCTGATTTTGGGTCCTTTGTTTAATTAGAATCTGTTCAAGGAAACTTGATTTTTGGTCCCGCATTATATGTTTTGGTCAGGACTTTAATTAATTAGGTGCTAGTTTGTTAATTACTAATTCCTGCTAGGAATCTGAAATTTTTTCTTGAATATTGGCTAATTTCTTCTTCTTTTTTCTCTCCACCATAAACTTCCACCGTTGCCTCTCCCACTTCCAATGATGTTGTGCCTCCACTATCGAGTTAGCTCGAAAGTTTGAACCAACAATCATCCCAGTTGATTGAACCCGAAGTGAGACCGTATTCTTCATTTGAAATCGAATCACCATTAATGGGTTTTTAAGAAAGCTTGAAGGTTTCAAAAGAGGTTACTTGATTTGATGAAAATTTGAGAAATTAATATTGGGGTTGTCTTTGGATCTTCGTGGGGAATCTTTAGCTGAAGTTATAACAAATTTGGAGGAGTTTCTCTTGAAATTTTGGATTAGAATCGTGGCTGGAACAAGAACACAGATGAAGATAGTGAAAAACACCAAGAACACTAATTTCCAGAATAATGTTTTCTTTTTTTGTTAATAATTTGTCCTTTTCTGATTGGGTGTAAATTAAGGATTTTTTTTCTATTTGATAATGTTACTTTTATTTTGTTTACTAAATAGATTTTAAAATAGTTTTTTATTTTACACGCAAAATGATATATGTCCTTTCTTTTATTCTTCATGTACCCCATCAGCAGCAAGTACATTGCAAACACTTTATAAGTATGGTCAATTGTCAAAGAAGTGCCTAATTAGAACAAGTTCTGGATAGCATAAATGCTTAATAGGAATATCCTCAAGTTTAAATATCTAAATAACAAATTGTGCCAACTTTAAATGTCTCTATATGTATTCAACCTTTGGATGGATAATGGCTTAAAAAGGGCCATTCGAGCAAATGCCCCCTTACAAGAGTGACTAAAATATGGAGTACATAATTGCCTATCCTACATCAGTAAGGTAAGATCTTGTTGTCCTTATTCGTATTTTTTCTTTTGAATATTAATAAACGTGTAGAGGTCCATGCTAAATTCCGTACTTGGGTGGATGGATTAATTAAAGAAATATGAAGTGACTAGTGAAAGTTTTAAGAGACTAACCTTTTGAACTTCACATTGTTTCAACAGCATTAGCATCTCCAAGCTCTTATTATACTCCTCCATCCTTTTAACTAGTTCTTCTTCCACCAGTTTATGGTCTACTCTATTCCGTTGACCCACTACAAAATAAACAAGTTGAAACTAATGAGATACTATAACATATTTTTGTATTTAACCAAAAAAATAATAATTTTGTACTACATAATTAGTTCTAACAGAAAGTATAGAAGACTTACGAAGTTTTACAGTGACCAAGAAAGCTGACGAAGTAGTTGAGTTGTTAAATTGGTGAACAACTCCAAGTAATATGAGCTCATCTCCAGCCTTCAGACATAAATTATGAAGTACCCCTCTAATGGCAGCCCAGTTTACCTCTTTTGATGTATCATGGACCACCACCACTCTCTTGCTTCCCATGAAAAAAATTCCTTTTCTTTCAAAAATATTTTCACGGAAATTATAAGGCGAATGGTTGCAATGTGGATGGTTTATTCGGGGCTGATATCTCCAAAAAAAAAATACGATCTAAGGTAAAATTCTGCTCGTGAGCTTAACGGTATAAACTTGTTGTCTAAATGTGAGACCAACTAGTTAAATAGTCAGCCATAAAGGAAAAGGAAAATAGATTGCTGGTATAAGGAAGTTGTAGATTGGTAATTCCAATGCTAAGCTGTACGAAAGAAAACACAAGAGCTGATGTAGTAGTTCTGATCATTACAAGGTATCAAATTTGTTGCAAGTGAATTGTTTATTTTTATGGAAAGATTCATTTCCATGCGGTGATAAAGACTTGGGCTGTTATAATTTATTATGCTACTTATAGGGGGTTTATTATCTCTAGTTTTGTAATATAAAAGTATTGATATCGTCTTTTGTAAAATCAAAAGTTTTCATTAGCTTTTCGCTTGTATATTATGGCGTAATTTTTTATTATTTTTTTAAAAAAGAATACTGTATTCAAAATTATTTATTATTTATTATGCTAAAAATATTTTTCTTGAGAAACGCAATTTTCATATATGAAGCCAAGTTCATCTTGTCTATCGGAAACAACCTCTCTGCCTTTCAGGGTAGGGGTAAAGTTTGCGTACACATATCCTCCCAGATCTATTCACTGGGTTTGGGTTTGTTGTTGTTGTTGAAGCCGAGTCATGTATAATTTCCAGCAGTACTACTCTCTATTCCAGTAGGGACATTGACAGATTTCTATAAAATAAGGAGCCGATGAATTCCATACCTTGCATTTGAAGATATAGAATCTCTAACGTAGGCAGATTCCTGTTATTGTCGTTTATTTTTAGAGTTTGGACAAGTTAGACCTACATATCAGTTGACTTCCCACATATTCTCTCCTTTGGGACGCATCGCATACATGCCGAGTACAAATACAATGGTAATGAAAATTCATTGCAGTGAAAAGACATAAAAGGTGTTTGGCTAAGTTTATAAGCACATTTTGACTTATCTACGCGTTTGATAAATAACTAAAGTGTTTATAAGTCAAGTGCGTATAAGCTAAAATCAGCCATAAAGTTGGTCAACCCCAACTTATGGCTTTTCAGTTTATAAGCTCTTTTAGTTTGACCATGACTTTAACTAGTTTATCCTTAATGATATTTTTTAGTTCACAAAATATATTTCTCAAATAAATTTTCTAACTTTATCTTCATTCCATATTAAATCAGCGCTTGTACCCAAACGCGTAACTACTTATTTATTAAATCAGCTCCAACACTTAAAAGTGCTTTTCAGCACCTAATGCTTAACAGCTATTTCAAATCAACTAATCCAAACGGGCTTATAGATCATCGAGTTTGTTTTCTCTAGAAGTTCACTGTTCTTTGGAATGAAGAGGACTAGAGGGGTGACCGATCCCAATGGATAATTTGGGAGCAAAAATGAAAATAGAAGCTATGGAGAAAATCGATCACATAAAAGGGGCTTATTGTCCTGAAATCAAGTGATGATCCAAAATTAGTTGGCCAAGTATTCTCTGCTTCAGAGACTAGGAAAGACTCTATTGGCCAAGTCTCGTGTTTTTCTTTTGAAGAAGGAAGAGCTTTTGGAGAGAAAATTAAAAGAATAAGGATGAGCAACAGGCTCTGTTAGAAATGGAAAACTTACCAGAAAACTTGAGGGATTTCTCTGTTAAGTGAAATATTAGGACGGTGGTAATTAAAGTTCAGGACCGGGATGACTTGGCCAAAACTCTATTAATATTTAAGGACACAGGCACGAATGAAGTAGAAATTAACCTGATACAATCAAAAAGAGAAAACGCAAAGCTTAACATCAAGGTTTTTGTCCTTAAAATAGGCCATTTCCCCCTTGAATCCATCATAAAGTGGAGTCCACTTCTGTAGAAAGAGATATTTCATTTCTGCATCTACTCAACAAGTTCCATGGGACTCATTTTTACTCCTTTTCATCACAATTTTTCATCACAATGATGTGGCTCGAGCCCACAATGGGTCATTCCAAAGCAGTTACCAAACACGCCCAGATTTATAAAAGCCCCCAAAGCAGTTACCAAACACGCCCNCTGCTTAATGACAAAAATGGCCGCGAAAGTGGATTGGGGTATGTTGTCACATTTCACATGTGAGCTTGTTGCGGCTGCTCCTGAACAATAAAAAGATAGAAATCGGAAAAACTAGACTCAGAAGTTTCAACCACCACTAACCTCACACTGCACCTTTCTTGTTCCTGAAGTTCTCTTTGAGTAATGCAAACTTCTTTTTACACTGGTTCATGGTCTTCCCAGGGACTGCAGTTGCAACTCGTTCCCACCGCTGGCTGGTTTCCTTGGGGAAGGTTTTCAGAGCTTGAACTAAAGCTTTTTCTTGAACAGCAGACCATATGTCTGAATCGGAGCTCGAGGAAACCCCGTTGGCGGCAGGTTCATCCTCAGTGTTCTGGCTGTATGTGTTTTGACTGGGGGACTCCTGAGAATCAGCCTTAGCACTTTCACTTTCAGGCTTGCTACTGTTTTCTACCCCCTCTACTTCTGCTCTTGTGGAAAGAGGAGATGCAATAGTCGGTGCGGGCTTTCTCTTCTCGAGAAAGGAGTCAAAGGCTTTAGCAGAGTCAGGCTTCTGGAGCAGAACTGTTTTTGTAGCCTTCAGGATCTCTTCAACTGTCCTTCCGGTACCAATATACTCGGAAATAACTTCCCATCTTCGAGATGTTCCTTTAGGATATTTCAGCATTCCCTTTCTCAAAAGATCAATTTCTTCCTTGCTCCAAGGTTTCTCCCTTTTCTCACTGCTCATCAGAGGAACTTGTCTTTTACCCTCCAGAGAACCATTTTGATGTGACTTAATCTTTTCGCACTTATTCTCATATTTTGAGTTGTGGTCATGCCCAAGTGCCTCCCTGAGAAGTTCAGCTATCATAAGCTCATCCTTTCCATCAGCATTGTCACACAAGTTCCTCAGTTGCTCAATGTCAAGTGACATACATAGACCTTCTACATCATCATCAGCTAGCCCAAGCAAATGCTGGGACAAAACAGGAGCTGCAAGGGTTCTTAAACGGCTCCGCTCTTTTCGCAACAATTTCTTTTCTTTCTCCTTCAACTTCTTCTGCTGCAAAGCAACTTCGGCAGCTCTTTTTCCCTCCTCCTCCTTCTTACGCTTTTCCTCTTCAGCAATCCTAGCTGCTTCTTCCTCCTGTAATTTCTTTGCCAGTAGTTTAGCTTCCTTCTTTTTCTGCTTCTCTGCTTTCTCTGCTTCTTTTCTTCCCAGGATTCTAGGGTCTCTCTTATAGGCATTGTCAACAAGTGTGCGTACCCTAGCTATTTCTTCTTTTCTAGCCTTCTCTGACAGTTTCGCATTCTGCCTCTCCATCCACCTCTTATGATCACGAGATTCAGCTTGTTCAAGGTCAAACTCATCAGCATGTGGGAACTCTCTCCAGCTTTTGAAGCTGTACCAGAAATTATAAAAGCTATCCACTTCTTTAATTGGAGTATTCTCATCACCCAATGAAGGGACAGGTTGGGTGACAGACCAACGTCCATTCCTCAAAAATGCAGGTCCAAAGACCTTAAAAAAATCTTGTGGAGCACATTCAGTTGGAATTTCATCATCAAATTCATCTGTGGAATCATAAATCCTTCTTCTAACAGGGTCAATAAGAACCTCATATGCTTCCTGAATAGCTTTGAAGTGGTTTTCTATTTCCTCCTTCTTAGCTTGTTTAGCAGCTTCAGTTTCCTCGGCTAGAAGAAGAGAAGCCAGCTTGTCAGGATGATGCCTCAATGCAGCATCACGATAGCTCTTCCTTATCTGATCCTCAGAAGCAAGATATCTTAAATGGCTCAACCCTAACAATGCATAATGATCTTGTACCTTTTCCCCAGTTGAAGATTTCTTTTTACCCTTAGAGCTGTATGATTCTGATGAATATGTAAATGACTGTTCCTTTTCAGTAGGAACATCTTCTTTACTGTCTTTGGAGTCTTCTTTCTCAACATGCCCACTCAGTCTAAGAGCAGCAGAGTGAAAAGCAAGCCCAGCAGGCTCATATTTGAGAGCTTTAATAGGAAAGCAGTTTGAGGAAATATAGATTGGTTCACCATTTATAAGCTCTTCTGAGTATGAAATAAGACGGATGCTACTCCTGGAAGCCATAGAGAAAGTTTAGCCCTCAAGTTTAGAAGATGAATATGAACACATCTACCAACTACTACACTTGGGGCAGGAGATGAGAGCAGCCTTTTACAGTCTCCAACCTGCAATAATGAGGAAAAATAATTATGACACATCAAATAATAAGTCAACGACAATGTGGAGACTGGGAATAATAGTCAGTGATCATCACAAAATAAGTGCATGTCTTACTGCATGCAGCAGCTTGAAAAAATACTAAGAAAAGAATACTTTATGGCTATACCAGGTATTTGGCATTCAGGCTTAGTTGGGTTGTTACATACATTAGATGCATGAGTCTTTTTTTTCTTCTGGTTAAAACTTGTATGGGTCCGCAGTTGTGACATTTACAAAGGGTCAACCTCCAATTTTTTACTTACTACTGGCCTCTATTTACACAACATTATATGCTTGTGTGGATAGCTACTGAAAGGTTGTTGGCTGTCCGTGTAGGCATAAGTCTGATATTTAAAGAACATCCAGTTGTAAAAAGCTCCTAATTTGTCTAGTAGTATTGAATTGAAATGACCATAAATAGAACAAAAAGACACAGGATGGCATTCAGGTGTAGTTGGTTGATATATTTCATGAAAGTGTTAAGGCACAAAAACAAAGTGGAGTCAGATTAGTACAACATCTTCAGAGGCAAAAAGTTGGAATATGAAAATAGAGGAGATGCTTGCATCAGGGTAGGCTGCCTGCATCACACCCTTTGGGACAAGGTCGTTCCCCAAACCTGCGGGGTGCATGAGGTCTGCCTTTTTTTAAGAAAGTAGAGGGGACCATGTTGCTTTGATATCTTGATATACTTTATCACAGTTTGAAAGCAGCAAGAAAATAAAATGATTATAACGACCACCACTTTCCATCAAAAAACAATCTGGGCAATCAAAAACTTATCACATGTCAAATGATTCAAGACTGCCAAAATCACACAGCTTTCCTTAAAAAATACGTTTCAAAACCTGAGTTGAATAGGTTCCAAAAATTTGGTCTGGAACATAATTGCATGTATCGAAACTGAAGCTTATAATTAACTCCAAGGAAAATATGAAAACGTCAATCTTTCTCCATGGAAAAATGCAGCTGATAAAGCTATTGAAACTATAGAGCATCAATAAATCATTTTG